CTTAATTCTCCACTAACCTGATTAATATGTGGTTATAATCTTCAAAGAACCATCAATTCATTTAAAGAGTATAGGTAAACGTCGACGCGAATGCAAAAAATAGTATATACACCTCTGGAGCGAAATGCCATTTTCCCTTGGTGCTTTGTAGCCCTCGGGCTCCGCTTCGCTTCGCCCTCTGGCTACAAATCGCACCGCGGGAAAAATAATGCATTTCTCTCCCTTGATGTATAATGTACTATTTTTATTTGAGCTTAAAATTCGGACCGCTGTAAATTGGTAACTGCATCATAATGTGTTTTCCATCCAAATTGGTGAACTTCTATCGAAAGAGGTCGAGGTGAAGTACACGCTTGAGCACTTAATTTCGGTAAAAGGACAGTAAATCGCTGCGCATCAGCGAGGTTATATCAATGACCAAGTGTCATTCGGAATGGCAGACTTTAAGCCAGTCGCTACTCCAGTGGGTCTAGGTACGAAGCTTTTAAAGAGGGGAGCCCCGTAGACTTCAAATTCCCGTACCATGAACTCTTGGGAATAAGTTGAAAGGTTCCTTCAGAAAATCGATTTGACATGTCCGTGCTAGAATACCTGAAATACAAACTAATTGTATTTTTTCACGATAAACACTTACCGTACTTAAGTACCAGGTAGTGTGTAGGTCATATTTGAGCTTCTTACAGGTACTTTGAACAAATAAAAGTGCTTGTAAAGGGTCTAGTAAGGAGTAGCCTGCTTTAGAGGTTATGACAACAAATCGATATATTTCGTTTAGCAACTTACCTGAATAATAATTTCTGTTCATTTCGTAGGGAGTAACACAAATTGTCGCAATTTCGCTCTGTTAAAACAGGTAAATTGGAATATTACACCCAAAACACATATAAAATACACTCAACATCTGTCAAGTTGAATTAGGAAATCGGCCTACCATGCAGTGTTGCCATAATTCTCAGCACGGCTTGTAATTATAGACGGCTGTGATTTAACCGACAATTCAACTCATGTATAAAAAATCGCATAAGTCTCAGTGCAATTGTCACTTTGACAGCGGCAAAAGTTACCTGCATCTTTTCCAGCGACAAATGCACTAGTGGTTTTTTCACTATTCATTTTCGAACCAATTATCGCATTATCCTTTCCCATATGATTAGCTTCACGTCTGTCAATAATTGATTAGTTTGGTGAATTTCTTGTTCGTTAAATTGTCCTGCCGAATTACACTCGAGGTTTGTATTTAAACCGAGTAAATTTGGGTTGTTGCAATTCAAATCTGTTTCCTTTTAGCAATTGAACTCGAAAAACTGTCAACCTAAAAATGCTCCACACCTGCGGTGTCGCATTTTTATTAGTTGACAGTTTTTCTCGTCTAATTGCTAGGAAACAGATTTTCATTACCTAAACAACCCAGGACAATTTAACGAACAAGAAATTCACCAAACTAATCAATTATTGACGGACGTCAAACTAGTCATCTGGGAAAGGATAATGCGATAATTGGTCCGAAATTGAATAAGTGAAAAAACCACTACACCTTTTCCACTTTTATTCGAGAAGTTGTAAATTGTATTTGAGAATTGTTACTTGTATTTGAGAAAACGTCAAAGTAGATGAGAATAATCAGTTGGATTTGAGAAAACATCAAATGTATTTGAGAATAGTCAATTGTATTTGAGAAAGTATCATTAATTTTATTGTATTTTAGAATGTAATATTATTCCTAATGAATTATAATTAAGAATCAGCTACTGTATGTAGTCCCGCAACAGCAGCAGCAGCATCAGGCTATGTTATACATGTGATTTTGTTAATGATTCTCAAATACTTAATTTTACCATTTCTTGAATACAATTTACTACTCTCAAATTCATTTGATGCCATCTCAAATACAAATCACTATTCTGAACTACATTTGTTGTTTTCTCAAATACATTTTACTATTCTGAAATACAATTGATACTTTCTCAAATTAACTTGATAGTTTCTCGAATAAAAGTGGAAAAGGTGTAGTGCATATTTTGTCGCTGGAAAAGTTGCAGGTAACTTTTGCCGCTGTCAAAGTGACAATTGCACTGTGGCTTATGCGATTTTTTATACATGAGTTGAATTGTCACTCAAATGCGTAAACAATGAACCGCTACGGCACTTTTTTTCACGCTACTAGAGGACGAAACAAACGCACCCTTTATGCACGCAAATTGATGGAAAATGTACTTTATTTTAAGAGCGTGAAAAAAAGTATTTTTATTCAATGCTTGTACGTAATGAGTACATGTGGGGCTAATTTTAATTTTAATTGTTCTTGACAACCTTTGTTACCATCATTTATGTATAGGTAATCTTGTTCGTGTAGCTGTAAACTGTTTTTTCAATGTTTTATTAAGAAATTTTGGCACATGTCGCCATTTTATAATCCAAAGTTGTCTGGATTTTTTTCATCACACATTGTAAGTAGGTACGCTTTATTTGTTTACAAATGTTTGAATTAAATGTTTCACACAGTGGTGCCACTGAGGAAGAGTCGCGATATAGGCACTCGAAATATCTGGACTTCCAAATAGTTGAATTTACGTTCATCTTGGCCTAAGTACCCTAACTAATACCACCGAGTAATTATTTATATTGTAAACACCTGAATCTCGATTCTGTGTTGGAAATACACCGCGAGTTTGTCCTTCGATGCAGTCCTTATCGAGTTTAGTGGCAATTTGACTATAATTTGTTGGTTTTCCAAATGGCAAAAGCTTGAAATTCTTTAATTTATTATTGCGCTGGTATAAAATGCCATTTGATTATTCTGGAACGCCGGTACTCTTTCTAATTGCCGAGGCGCATTTATTGTAAAATGTTTGTCTGGATGTCAATGAAGTGTCTTTCCACAATGTTAAATAACGAATAAACAAAGGCGCCGACTTAGGGGTGGCCGAGCACTTTCAGCCCCTCCAATATTTATACTGGAGGGGCTCAGCTTCCCTAATTCTGAATAAGTGACAATTATATACCGTATTCGTATTCGTGGTTACTTACACCAAATCTTGAAACTGCATAATCAGCTTTAGACTCAACAATAAACCTTTATACCTCTACCTCAATGCAAAAATGCAATAACAAACCGTCCCAAGTAAGCAGGAAACCGTTGACACTTCTAAGAAGCAATAATCTGACTCCTGATGTGACGTCATAGTTTTTCTTTCTGAGATAAAGGATAAAGATAGGTACCTGCACCTTACACCTACTACGATAAGTGCATTATTTAAAAATGCAAAAATTCGTACTTGCTGGTTTTAGTTAAAAGTCGACGGTTGTCGGTTAGGGTTATGGTGATGTTTTAATAATTTTCTATTGTTATCGTTACGTATTACGTTTTAGTTCCTAAATTACTTATACCCGTAACCCGATACCCTATGCAGGTAGGTACGTAAAAATGTTTGGGCCCCCCCAAAAATTTTGTCAAGTCGGCGCCTATGCGAATAAACCTAATTCACTCTTACGATGTCTTTAATTTACCTTGTTTCTGGGCTACCATTGAATTTATAATGAATTTATAACTTATAAATTCAATGGACTACTTCAAATAAAAGAACTAGCAGACGACAACCTCTAAAATTGTAACTTAAGATAGCTCAAGAGACAACGTAAAAGTCCTAACACTATCACCTAGGAGGTCTGAGTCTGGGAGAAGGTGAGTGGTATAATAATCGATGTTTCCCTCTCCCTCCCCCTCCTCCATTTCAAGCATCACATGATTAATGGACGACCTCTTTGAAGTTGATTTTCATTGAGGAAAAAGGGGAAATGTTCAGTACGTGACCATAAAATGTATGTCAAGGGCTAGCCGGAGGCCAGTTAGGTAATCATTTTGCTAAAGAATTTCCAACTTAACTTAAAAGGCCAAATTTTATGCTAAAGAAAGGAGGATCAACCTCTTTTATATGCAAACCCATTGCAACTCTTAAAATAGCTCCGCAAAACCAATCTTTTGGATCCAAATCTAAATAACGAACATATAACCGACATAACATAATAGAATAACAGAAGTAATGAAAATTGCAAACACAACACGCACGTTGTTGGGCATGAAACGGTTTCATTATGACTTACTTTGCTTCCGACTGGAAATCGTTTATGGAAAAACAACTCAGCTTGGTGTAACAATTGAGTTGTTTTGAAGCACTGTGATTGCATCAAGGGCTCAAAAATTACACCTTGTACGTTAATGCACTTCACCACTCTTCTTAAATTTTGCGTAATTTTATAATTTCTATTTATATTATTAATACGACATTTAATTTGTATAATGTATAGTGATGCACTGTTTATTTATACTCAATTGTTACCTCAAGCTGACTATAGTTGACTAGAGACAATTGATTTATAGCCGCCTTATAAAAAAAATAAAATCGAAACAGTTGAGAATAAAGATATAGTAGTAGCGTTTTTGATTTCAAATAACCTCTACTTTAATTTCCCAAAATATTGCCCTGATGGGACACCCTGTATAATTTTTCGTTTACTACACATTGTGCAGACTTCCTATTGTTTCAGTAGATCCTGTAAAATCATAGGCAATAATTTGGGCATAAGTTTAACTTATTGACGAAGTGTGAACGGATAAAACATGTGGGAATATTGGAGAGATAAGTAAGATAGTTACAAGAATGCGTAACGAATACAGAAGCCAAGTTAATAGGTAAGAATATAAATTGTACTGAAACTATCGCCCTAAAGCAAAGCACTATTCAGTAAATATAATTAATTTAGTTTCAAACACTTAGGTACTACCGGTATTGTAGCAATAAAAATGTGTGAACTGATAAAAGTGGCCGTATTACTAAAGATACGTTTCGATCGGCATCTTTCCAATAAGTACATACCTTAATTGATATGTTCTTTACTTTGCCTATTTATTTTTATGTTTTGATCGCACACGTTAAAACGGAAATATTTCTTCAACAAGACAGCTATCAATACTTTGAACTATGAAAGAAAAAGGCACTTACATTGACCGTTGTATTTCTTGATTTAACATTCCTGTCAGTCGATCGTTGTTGAAGGTGTCGGCTTAAAGCAAACATTTCCGCTAAACGAGATCGAGTTTTCGAGGGAGCGGGATTATTCGTAGGTTCTTGTTGGGAGTGGATTTTTCTCGACGGAAATACTAAATGTTCTATGTCCGGCGTATATCCAGGATCCCTTCTAACGAAGTCCTGCATACTCCATTTGGGACCCGCTTTTAAGCGTGCCTTAGGGGGTATTGTCGCCGTTCTCGTTTTCCTTTTTACATTTTGCGGTTTATGGGGATTCGAACATTCCGCAAGCATCAATAGACGATCGCGAAGGTGATGAATTTCGTCGCGATTCATAATTCTATGCGTCCCATCCGATTTTCAATCCAAACATGTTCCACTCCGCCTCTGGTTCGTCCGACATTTTCTGTTCTGAAACAAAAACGTAGTCGTTAAATTTAAATACATTCTTTTGTTAAATTCCTAATAAGTAAGTAATTTTTATAAAATACGCCGAGACACGTCAAAATATTTGTCAAGGAAGACAACTTTTTAACCAAAAACTACTTCACCGCCGCCTTTCACCCTCTGCCCCCCAGGGTCATTCCCTTAAAAATTAGTTTGAAAGGTATTTCGAAGTCCTTTATTTTGACGTTTGGAAAAGATATTACTCAAGTTTGTAAATCGTCATGTACTTTTCTAGAAAGAAAAATTAGAACACGAGTATGAAAAGTATAGACCCTTGGAAATGGGTTTGCGGTTTTAATAATTTTATACGAATTTTCTAAATACATTCTTGTTTTTTTCCGTATATATTCAAAAGGAAAGAATTTTTTTCAAGAGAGTATTTCCCTATTTATAAAGCAGGGGATGGTGTATAACGAACAACATTACGAACGGAAAATAATTCGGATGAATATAACCTGCCGAACGAATAATATATCATACTAAAGATATAACTTCTTAAATAATATCTATGGGCAAATGTCACTCATAGTTTAAATGATGTAGGAAGATTCGCCGGCAATCAGTAATAAGAAAAATTTCACTCACGGTCGTTTAATATGAATAGTAGATATGGTGGGTTCACAGTATACGTACAAGTATACAGAATTTCGCCATAAAAGTCTCTCCACCTCTAAAATTAAGGTGGTTGCAATCACTTTATGTTGCAGTATATTTCATTTTGGGTGCAATAATGACATTTTGAAATTTTCCGACGGCGAATATTCCGAGAAACAAACTTAGAGAGTGCCAGTATTCCTGGGTGAATTTACCAAACGCGATTTGAAGTATTATATCTAGTTCCCTAAATTAAATACGTAGATACTTTTAAAAATTCACTATCAGGATTTTTTCTTCCCTTATAAACAATCTGAGCACTCCGAATAATTCTAAATAAATTGTCACAATTTGAATGCCATCTGTTAATAGGTAGATACTAATTAAACTAATCGGAATTGGCCATATACAAAGCTGCATTTCGGAATGATCTCTTTATACTGAGCAAATTCAGGCGATGTATTCCTGTTTATTTTCAAGTTTACCGTTGACACAATGCGACTACTATTCGTTGGAGGGTTTCCTATAGTAATAAATATCTGCACCTGAAAGGCATGTCTGTTCGTTCAACTGGAAATAAAATAAAGTAATATATAGTCATTCCAAATAGTTACACAATGTGATCATTTGCACTTGTTTTTGAGGTAATACTTTTTAGTCTTTTTTATCCCTCAAAAACCGTGCGGTTTATAATTACATTTTCCCACAAACCCGCTTTGTTCTTCATTTGTTTCGTAATTATCGATTCGTTTAACCCACCACCAATTAGTACTAAATTTTTTAAATCGAAATCGCCCTGACATATTTGGATTAAGAACAATGAACTGCTAAATATGACATTGTCGCACCGCCAACGCGGAACGCGTTGACATTTCAGTGAATATTGTAAGAAATGGCTTGCTCCGCATATTTTAAGACGACGTGTTTAAAATGAAATTGTGTCAAGCATTTATTTAAGGCAATCGATTAAATTTTCCTGATACCCGCCGTGCATTACGCAAAGTAGAACTTTTAATCGTGTTAATGTAAAACTAAAGTTTGTGACAATACGCAGAGGGTGCGGGTTAAGTTGAGACCTTTATTATAATGTGTGTGCTATATATTGTCGCAAGCTTGCAAAGTGTCAAATTTTAGTTTATGATCGGTAACAATACATTTAACCCCATTCGGTACGTAAGTAATGGGCGATCAAAAATGAGTTGCTGTCGAGTCGCCTTTGGAAGTTCAAGTTGAATATTTCCCATGTAAACAAAAGTTCCAAAGGTGACTTGACAGCAACTCATTTTTGATCGCACAGTAGTATAGTTATAGTATAATGTACCGGGTGATTCATTAGAAGTGATGATCGCTTGAATTTCGCGCGTAAGGTTTTAGTATTTTTTGCATTATTAGATTGACGGTTTGAATTTCGTTAGTAATTTTTTTCTGTCATGACTGTCATTTAAGAAACCAGTGTCGCCGTTAATTGTTGTGTACCATTTGCGGTTTATTATTTTTTCCATTTGGAACAATTTTTAGGGTTGATGCACTAAAGTATGTAAGAAACGTGACTGTGTCTAGTGTTAGTTTATAATTTGTGGTAAAACAAAAGCAGTATTTGTAGATTATAAATAAGTAAACGATTTACTGAAAGCATGATGATACACCACTGCAATTAAATCAATGATCATCAGTTAGTACCAACTTCATAATTTTTTTGATTTGCGGTAAATTCAAATTGTCCTCACTTCTAATGAATCACCCGGTATATACATATACTAAGATGAGCATAGAGATATTTAGGCATTTATATAATCACCGATGGTACACGTTACGTTTTACTGCACATTACTAAGTCTTTCATCATCATCTATGCCCATTAGACTCTTCTAATATGGCTAGACTTTAAGCTGAATTTTCAAATCTAATTGTCAACTTTGTAAATGTTGCCGAAAGTCGTGATAAAGTAGTCGCGTACCTAACATGGTTTACGGTTCTAACCGTAAAAGAGACCGAATCTAATCCTATTTCTTCCTAGTTGCCGTTTAAAAACGTATACATAGGTACTTAAGATGAATGCGAAACCGCGGTGCTACTGCCATGGATGAACTGAAGATTTGATTAGGGATGCTCCTAGATTGCAAGTAGCTGCAATTGTTTACTAAAGTTTCGATTTATTTATCTATGCTTGACCACAACATCTGCTTTTTCATAATGCCTGGAGGAGCTGAATGAAGCATTTCTCGTATACGGTTTTATACCCTCCTGGTAGAACAGTTGTCCTCTTTTTAAGGCAGTGTGTGTAAGGGGTTTACAATAGTTACCTTGTCGTTTAGATAGACCTGCTAGACATTGACAACCCAAAAAGGTATGTAATTCAGATTTATTTGGTGGGATAGGCGCGTTGACGATTGCTGCAACTTTATTTCTAGGCTTAGAAAGAATACAGTGTGGTTCTCTCTAGGCAGCTCTACTGCGGTACTAATGGTCCCTGGTTCGAATCCGAGTTCGGGTATGAATATTTGTAAATGTGAAGTGGGATGGGTTAGTAGAGCAGCTTTGGCTGAAACCCTGCCCACTTAAAAAAATACTAAAAATAAAAAATAGCACTGTGTCCAAGATAAGGGTATATGTCTATCATGGGGATCTCCGAAATCATAGAAGATACGACGATGGTCAGTTAGTTAAACGATGCACAATTAAAGAGTTACTATCATGCTTTAAAGAAAAGCAGAAAATTCCGATTGCTTCCGAAGATATGCCAGAAAATGCCCAAATTTGCCGATTTTTTTTTAATTTTTTTTTTATGTTATTTGAACAGATACAACAAATAAAAAAATACTTTCTCATTACTTTTTCAGCTTTACAAGAGATTTTCAATACGTTTCGAAGAAATCATCATCGACATTATTTTTTTATATGGCCCGTAAAAGAAGTACATACTGTATTGAGTAGCATTTTCTATTACTAATACAACGATGTACGGCACACAAGAAAAAAACAAAAGTGGGAAACTATTGGTTTTAACAGGCGCACAACGCGAATAGCTATCGGACAAATATCCTAGAAAATGAAATATATGTTCAATTGGTATTCTTCCACGATTAGGGCGTTGTGCGCAGGTGCACTATCCTGTTAAAACCAAGTTTCCAACTTTTGATTTTTCAAAATTACTAACCCCACATGCTTCATTTAAATTAAGTCATTTTTTATTATCATTTTAATTCAAGGATTATTTCACTTAAATTCTAAACGGACTATAACTAAATTTTGACTAACACTCAAAATCTACTAAAATTAATCGTAATTTGAAAGTGAAACTTCTCTAATATTTATTAGACAATTTACATTGTCGTCCAAGAATGTATTACTTTTAGTACCAGATACACAATTTTGCGTCGCTTTTTATTTTCCCTACATAGTTACTTATTTCATTTTCAGGCAGTTGTAGATAAGTTTTGTGGTAGGTTCGTGGGTTAGAGCAGTTTTTCTCAAGCGGGGGTCCGCGAACACCTATCAGAACAGATCTCATTAAAGTTTTGATATTCTTTTAATATTTTTTATGTTATATATTGACTATACATGCAGCTTCTATGTTGAATATCTTAAAATTAGAATTATGTTTGAGTTTTTCTTTAACATTCAGTAATAAATACTCCTTAAACAATGTTCCAGTTTATTACAAATATCGTTAGGGGTCCCCAGAGTTAAGGGAATCTTGCAAGGGGTCTTTATTTATAAAAAGGTTGAGAACCACTGGGCTAGAACATATTACACCACCTGTGTTACAGATGACGAGGTCGTCCCTTCGTGGTGTAATAAAGCTTCTACCACACTTGTGGTATAAATAACTAATATCATTGAATAATATTATTCAATGCTAATATTCAATGCTATAACTTCATTAGGAGACGAGCGGAAGGTCGGTCGCGATTGCAATTGAAAATCGTAACCTCAATTTTCATACACATATACCCTTTTAAAGGCAGATGTTTTTATGTTTACAATTAATCTTGATAGCAAATTAAAATCAGGTCGTATAATGTTGACGCAGTTGATGGGAAGCATATGTGCTCAAACCTGAACCCACACTACGGGTGCAATGGATAATATCACTTGTAAACGAAAATAAATAAATCGTTTTGTTTGCATTCCAAAAATATTTATGTGCACCTGAAACGAATAGTACTGCTGGAATATGAACATTAGAAAGAGCGAACCTCAAAAGCCCTACAGGATATAAATAATATAAAGAATACCACATTTTAATAGTACCTAACTAATGATTTTCCTGGACTGTAATAAATTCGAATTAGTTATACAGAATGTGAGAATACATTCCTTCAAACAATTGTAGAAAAGCAGTTGTTCGTTACAGCGTTAATGAACCACTGTTTCACAGAGTAAATATGAAAAATGAGGGTCGGATAGTATTTTCCTCATTTATACTTAAAATGAAAAGCCATCGATTCTCATCAACCAATTTACATCTTTCCACAAAGTGTTCATTTATTATTTCCCTACAGGCATCCCTTTATACGGATTTCAGAACGTTTCAGTTGTTTCTTAAGTGCCTTCTCTTGTTTAAAAAGAACGCGTCCTTAGCGAAATTTTTTTCCAGGGCATTTGTTCTCTATATTTTTATCTGGGTGTACCGAAACCAATGATCTTATCATATGCTAACGTTTCCGCTAGTCGACGTTAAAAACGCCAGTTCTGTGAACCTCAGGAACGGGTACGGGAAATTAAAATAATTTTTAGTCATTAGTAATTTTTAAATCTAGGTCATGCCGCAACAAGAAGGCTAAAAGGGAATTATGAAAAAAGACGGGAACAATGGTGAAAATTGTACAACTATAACTTATAAGGCATATTATTCGTGATCTACACTTTACAGGGTGCCTTCGGGATCTCAGCTAAAATTGTCAAAGTTATCGAGAATTTTATGATGATTTATTTTCCCTTTCGGTATTTCTTGTAGTTCTACAAATAGTGAAGTTCTGACCAAAACAAATGCATAATTTTCTCTCGACTTTCTGATGATGGCGCAAAAATAAAATTGTTACCAGTGTATGAGACCATGGGTTTCAACTTCCTCATTTATTATGGACGCCATATTGGATTTTGACATCACTCGATAGAGAAAAAATTACAAAACAAGCGATACTAAACACTTACGGTCGATATTATACGAGTAGTAATGGTTGTCAGTTAACAATGTGATTGGAATGGAGTTAAAAAATACCAAGCGGGGCAACCACTTATTGGCACAAGGCTGTGAGGTTTGCTGTTTGCATGATCTGCCATACTCAAAGCTCGCGCCAGCCTTTTCTTGTGAGGATGATACTCAAACTTCGATTTGACATCTCCAATTCAACAGATTATTTACCAGCATCCATTATACAAACTGTACCATGACCAAGCCATGTGTGAACTGAAAAGAGAATGAATGGCCAGAAAGAACGAGCTCCTCTTCACCTGCCTACTCCTCCCCACACACTACCACACTTCTTCTAAACCGGAGAATCCTAAGTGCTCCACCCTGTATATGTATGTACCTATTAATTAAGGGAAATCACAGCACAAAATTATATTCTTTATGATGAAAGGTAATGTAAAGTCGAGTGTAAAGTACAAAAAGCAAATCTTGGACAAACATTTTTTTAACAAGTTTATTTGCAATCTGTAACGGAATTACAATGAGCAATTGGTTGGAAAAGAATATAAAAGCGTATCAGGAACTTTCCTGCGAAAGTTCCCATTACAATAAAATTGATATTCAAATTAGTTTAAGTATTTATTATAACAATGATAGTGCCTTGGATAGTGCTAAAACCTATTAGATAGGTCACACGAGTGGTATCTACGCAGTCTTCTTCTGTACGGATGTGGATTCATTAGTGTTTTGGTCAGTGCGTTAGGGTGGTTTTTTAGACGGTCAGCGTATTTCCATGTTAGATTGGACACTTCTTCTTTAACACTGCCCATGTTCAGATCATTGGTTATTATTTTGTTAGGTACGTACCAAGAAGCATTTAATACAGTCCGAAGAACTTTAGATTGAAATTGTTCTAGTATTTCAATATTTGAATTTGACAATTTGGACAAACATAACGTTTAACTTATTGATGCTCAAAATAAGTAGAAAAACTCGAGTGAGACAGATATTGAAGCCGTTCAAAACCTAATGTATGTGCACAGTGCTTTATATTAGGCAAATAATTAAGATCAAATAATTTTAATTTAAAATTAATTATATTAGATATTTAATATCATTTCCATTCCATGAAAAGTGGACAACAAGCGTTTATTCGATTTTATCCCAATCTCTCCTTTCTCCACGTACCCATATTAGATATATTAAGGTGAAAAAGCACGACACACCAAACATTATTTCGAACAGTATGCACCAACTTCTAATTTTATTCTGGAAATACAAAAAATAATTTCCGTTGTGTACAATGTCACGCTAATCACATCGCCTGCAATTCCTGCTATCAAATATGGTACAGGCCAGTACGCCAAAGCTCCAATTCCATTTACGAATGCTGTTAATATCCCAGCATAATTTTTGGTCAAATCTAGCACATTCACTCTGATGCTACAGTAAACGGGCGCTTGTAGTGCAGTAGATAGAATTATGGTAACGATCGCCCAATTGCGATGACAACCCACAAATCCAGTTACCATCAAAGCAGTAGCAGGAAAGACATTTCCTACAGACGTCAAAGATCAGAGATCGATTTTAGTTACTGAACATATTGACCGATAAACGCGAATACTCTTCTAGAAACCATCACAGACATCCAATTCCGATTAATCGTCATGTCGCAAACTACAGCAGCAACGCTTGCGAATATCCAAAGTGCTGCGTAAGCAATTGCGTTAAATACGCCATTTTCGATTACATTAAACTTTAGTACATCTTTTATATACAATGGCAGATTCGTATTGATGTAGTAAAACTTTATCGCGTGCCCGCACCAACCAGATATACACGCAATAGCTGCGGAATCTGTTAACATTGCTAACCATGGAACGCTTAATCTTTCAGGAATACCTGAAAGTAAATGCATAAAGTTTGGACAACACTTCAGCTGTTACCTATTTCCCGCACTAGCATTTCATTTTCTTCTTGGGTAATACGGGGATGGGTTGCTGGTTCCGAGTAAAGTAAAAATTGCGCTGCTACTACCCAAACAATTGATATAATTCCCCAAAAATAAAAAACCGCTTTCCATGAATTCATATATCCCATTATGAAACCAGAAACAAGATAACCAAAAATACTGCCAACTTGGGCACCGGTGAATACCCACGTACCTGCTCGTGCGCGTTCAGACTTTGGTACCCATTTAGCAAGCAAGGTGGCCGTAGCGGGAAATAAAGGTCCCTACAACCAGTAAACATACCAATTCCTAAATGCAAAGGTATTAGAGTACCTGTACTAAACCCATTAGTGCTCTAAGCAGGCAAAGAAATTTCCAACTTCCCATAACAATCGTCATTGGCGTTAGAAGGGTGACAAAAATGGATACAATAACATCAACCATAAGAACAAATTTAGCACCATATACATCTGACAAAAATCCACCAGGTACATGCGACGGCACATACCCATAATAAAAAGCAGTTAAAACTGTAGCTATTTGCTCGGGTGCCCATTCGTATTTCTCTTCATTCTATAATCGATTATACGAATATCTGTATATTCTTTCAAATTACCTTATTGACAATAGGAGCGCTTGTGACGTTACATTCGCTTACAGGAGCAGCCTTCCCTTTGCCTTGAACAATTTCCGTTATAGCTAGATTTAAGCATCCACGCATTGTATATGAATTAACAATGGCAAGAAAGGCCATAACACACGCAACATAGCGTTGCGGTATAACGACATCTGCAAGGAAACTGTGTGAAATATCGACCCAACGAACGGTTAGAAACTTACTTCCAAATGTGCAATTTAAACAACCCATCCCTAAAATATTTTCACAAGAAATCTAAAAGTAACACTGACGTTTCCAAATGTTTCCACGCACTTGATCAGTGGATCTTTCGTACATTATCTAGCACTACACCACACGGTCGTTGCGTACACATTGGCCCGTATGAATAAAAATAAGCAAATGCTTATACTTATGGTGACCATATGTACTTTTTTTAGTAGGACAGTACTTTCTTTTGAAACGCTGTCCTATTGTCCTTTACGATTTATTAAGTACACCTAAATGTACTCTTTTTCTTAATTACACAAAATTAAGTCATAGTTTTTGTCCAAACGAAATATAATTATGACTTCTTGCATGTCTTTGATCATAAATGCTTTGGCGTATTGCTTAGTTGGATTTTGATCCATTGTGCAGAAACCTATCGATGAAATGTTTCAGTTCTTAAAGAGTAAACCGCAACTTCTGAAGTAAATTCATGGTTCCAAAAAGTACGACTGGTACCAAAATGATGATCAAAATGTTCAGGCAGGAACGTCGGAGGAAAATTAACTTTTAAAATTTATATATACATATAAAGACACAATTTATGTACCTATGTTTGATTAAAAAAAACTTTGTTTTCTTACTGTTTGATTAGATTCGTAAAATTGTGACCAGAAAAATTTCCTAGAGTATTAGCTTTAGCAGTGCATTCCCTTATAAATTATAAATGTACTTTTTTCTTGTTGAAAAATTATGGTCACCCTACTTATACTTGCAAAATTCAAAGTAAATACTCGTAAGTGCTCCTTCGCACTGGGCGACTTAGCAGCGCTGCTGAGCAGCAGGACAGGACGCAGTGCAGCGCTGCTAAACAAATCAGTATGAAGGGGCAGTTACGAGTATTTACTTTGAATTTTGCAAGTATAAGCATTTGCTTATTTTTATTCATACGGGCCATTATCAGAGGACTGAGAGATAATTAGGATCGTGAGAAACTCTTGCAAACAGAAGGCACCACCAATTTTGACGGATTTGTGTCAAAACAGTAGCACTTGAAGCATCCAGAATAGAGTCCAGAGTCGTCAAAGTCAAAACCAAAATGATGAAATTAAAAGCCGGAATAATTCTAAACAACGCAGATATCACTGTTCTCAAAACCATCAAAGAGAAACTTCAGAATCCAGAGAGAATCGAATCGATCATCGAGCTTTTTAAGTATTGATACAACTTGTGCCTCTATTGTGGAAGGTCAAACCATTACTCAAAGGGCTGCAGAATTGGCAAGGGAAGACCCAAATGTCACTCTTGCAAGAGGATTGGACACACAGACACAGCTAAGGTCTGCATCACTACGATGATGAAAAACCAGAAAAATTACAACACATCGACTCAGTATCTCCAGGACGACGTTTCCAATAAAGAATATGGAATTTGCAATCGCATCGATCTATTTGAGATATCACCTTACCAAGATAAGTATATAGTTATTGTTAAAATTAATGAAAAGTCACAACAATTTGGGGTAGATTCTGGTGCAAAATTCACTTTGTTAGGGGAGAACGATTACAATGCATTAAAATTAAAATCCACAATTCAAGTACAATGAAATTAGCCTTGTTCTACTCATTTGCCAAGAAATTTCTGATTAGGCATACTAGAGTATTCGTTTCGCAGCGCTGTAAAATCTTAATTAATGAATAAAATTGAAAAAGTTTGTTATAAACATTATTCCTTGAAAACCCCTCTATAAAAATGAGCTGAAGTCATTTTTTTTGTAAAATGACCAGGCAAAAACTTATAAGGACCAATTGAAAATTGATTACCAAATGTTCATCAATTTTCGTTTATAACTTTATTATTTTTGGTTCTAAGACTAAAAGTTACTGAACCAAAGTTGCAGAAAATTTTATTTTTATTCAAAAATGACTGATTAAATTTTTTTGAGACCAATAGTTGTTTGTCAGATAAACCATAAAAACCCTTTTTTCAAGATGGCTGCCGCGGGACAGGGGCTGCAACCCCACAAACACGGATTTAACTTTAGACTAACACCCCTTGATAGGTATCTGAAAAATAAAATTACGTCCTCTAATAAACGCAACCCGAAATGTAACTTTTCAATGGACTACATGTTCATAGGACATTTTCGACTCGAATGGAACACGTAATAAAATTTTGTCCCTTTCGTCGCGGGACACCCTTTAAATCATAAAGCTTCCTTTCGCGGTTTGCTATAAACAAAAGATACCAACACAATGTTGTCTCCGTTGTCCTCTAATCTAAATTCATTACTTTCAACTTTCAAGGCACAATAACGCTAAACTCTTAGAATCGAGCTGGCGCTCTCTAAAAAGGGCGTGTAGTTGAAAAGACTTCTTTTGCTTCTCCGTTAAGTATTGTCATCAACAATTTTTAAAGCGTTTTCTACCCTCGAATACACCGCAAATGCTAGAATGTGAAAGATGTCTGTCATACTGCAATTTTCTTCCATTCCCTTTCAGCTTTTATGCTTTACGCTTTTATAAAATATCTACTGCATTCATATGCAAATCGTTATCAATTCTATCCGATAGCTTTTCCATAAATTTGTCGCATCTGACAAAATTTCAGTGTCTGTAAGAGCACACAATGATCCAATAAATCCAAAAATCCCTTTTGTGTGCCTACGCGTTCTTCGGGTTAGGACGGAAATTGAACGTGTAACATGAAATTTTTCTATTCAGAGATGTCTTCGTAGAGGTTATAATGTCTTTATGGTTATCGTAACTCAGTTCAGGTATTACAATTATTTCGACAAACTAGGAATTTATTTGCTGTATGGGCTGCTGCACCATCTTGCTGCAAATATCCTTGTCTCAGTTCGTCATCATGAAGTTGATTCAGGAACGTATCCAGTATTTCAGTGCGGTACCTTTCTGCAATAGCGGTACCGTTGAAAAAATTGGACCTATGATACGTCCCTAGACATGCCAACCCATCATGTTCAAAGGTAAAAGAGATTCTCGATTCAAACTAAAAACTGGGGTGATTTGTGTATTAGGGAAAACCATGACCGCCAAAGCCTTAAGTAAAAAAAACAAATGTTAAGCACCAAATTCAAACCTGCCTACAGTCATTTTGAATCACCTAGTATATCGCAGAGAATAGGTAATGAACATGATTTATTAAAATTCTTAAAAGGTGCTCCCCTGCGTTTTTCTCTATCTTGTAAAGGATGAAAACGAGGTTGCATGTGCTGTAGGTATACCTATATTTCTCTCGAAGCCATGATACTGCGTGGTAGGGATATAACAAACGATTTGGGATTGCAATCGATAAAATGAACTAATCTACTTTAATAATTAGGACACTTGGCTTAGCGAAAAAGATATAGCTACAAAGCCTAAAGTCTCATCGAACAATACCTTATGAATATTCAAACGTATCTTTGCGTAAGGTACATTTTGCTCAGTACACCAAATCCCATACTATCCTTCGCAATTATTTGACGGAGCGAGCATTATGTTCCTAACTTAATTGTTAGGAAAAATGCTTTTGTGTCACTGCACCAACAGTCAAGGTTTGGGTGGAAAATGCGATTAAAAACATCTGCGAAAGAATTGAAATTACGTTTTGTAAGAATGAAATAAGTGCACATTTTTGGTGAAGTAATTACTAAAAGTTTACAGTATAAAATGAAATCGCGGAATGAACTTAAAAACCTACATTCGAACTTTCGATACCGGGTGATCGTAAAGGACTGGAGCCAGTTTGAATTTGGCGCTTATCATTTTAGTGTTTTACTTTAGGTGTTGGCCGTCGTGATTTTTCCCCAATGTAGAAATCACAGTTACAATCCATTGGCGTCTGTTTTTTACGTGTGTTTTTATTTTCTTATTTCTATATCACGAACTTTGAATTTTAAACAAAAATAGTTCTTTTCAGTGCTGCTGCAAATGCAACATTTTAGAAAGGTACCTACGTACATAAGAGAAAACACTTTATAAGGATCATATAACCCCCGTTTTTAGTTAAAACCGAGAATGGCTTTTACCCCTGAACATGATGCGTTCATATTAATGGCGCACTATCATAGAACCAATCAGAGTTGGAATGGGTCAAGCATAGAGTGACCCAGTGACCCGGTGACCCAGTTAGTTTACTGACCCAGTGACCCGGTGACCCAGTTGACCCGGTGACCCAGCTTGACCCGGTGACCCAGCTTGACCCAGTTTGACCCGGTGACCCAGCTTGACCCAGTGACCCAGTTTGACCCGGAAACCCAGCTTGACCCAGTGACCCATCTCGACCCAGCTTTACCCGGTGACCCATCTTGACCCGGTGGTCCCGTTTAAACCGTTATTTGGATTAAGCTAACTAGTAGAAGAAAATTAATGAACACCAGTAAGCAACTGGTAAGCCCTGAAGCAAAGAAATGAAGGAAGGAACTGTTTAGAAATAATATTACTATAATACAATTCGGGACATGGAAGGTTTTTTACGGCAGTATTAAAGCAAACATCACAGAAATGGCAGTTGTCAAGCAATCGAGTATTATTTTCAACAAACCAGCATTTCATTTATTTCATAATCTGTACACTTGAACCGAGGGCACTGACTTAACTGCGTTGTTCGATCAAACTAGGTTACTGGGTCGAATTGGGTCCCCGGGTGAAATTGGGTCGCTGGGTCAAATTGGGTCACTGGGTCAAACTGGGTCACTGGGTCAAGTTGGGTCACTGGGTCAAACTGGGTCTAACTGAAAAGAGTATGACGTGACCCAGCGACCCAGTTTAATTTAGTGACCCAGGTGACCCAGTTGACCCAGTGACCCAGTCCAACTCTGGAACCAATAGGTCGTTCGTCAATTCGAAGTGTGAAAGTGATCGAGCAGAGCCCTAAGAAATCAATTCGCAAACTATAGAATCAGACTGGTAGGCTAAGATAGCAGAAACGATAACATCTTTATTTGTTATCATTACAGGCTTATCTTCTGGGACGTGCCACAAAATTTCGCACAAAGATCTCGAAATGCTTCCCTATAAAGTTTAGATTGCCAACAACGCAACCATTGTCGCTGGTTTAATAACCATTTAAACAACAACGATGTGTTAGATCTAACT